GGGGGGGGGTCGAGAATGTAGCCTTAAGACAAGGCATTTGCCTGAAATAGACCGGATATCATTCCACTGAATAACAAGTGTCAAGGGTCACTGTGACTGACTCAAATATCATTTCCCCCTAAGGTCTTCATGTTATAGTATGCTTCCCAGGAAGTTGAGGTTGATTCGGAATACTATCAGGTTGGCTTGGGGTAAAAGTATAGATTGTAATGCGTGTAGAGCTTGCTTTAGAGCAGTAATTTGCGCTATACAAATGCTATCAGTTTATTAATATAGTTACTTACGCTGTGGAAGGCCAGCTTGTATGGGTTCCAGTTGAACAGTGGGGTGGTGTAGATGATCTCCAAAGGCAGTGCATAGCTCACTCTGCAATATTAACACAACAGTTTAGCGCTAGAGAGAGTTTTACAGAACATGCAACACAAGTAGGTAGTATACGATCAGAATAGTATTTGAGGTGTTGCTAGAGAGTAACATACAAATAAAAGAAGGAGGAGAGACAAGGACAAAGGATGTTTGATAGGAAGGAGGGAGCAGACCGCACCAAAGCACCAGCCAAGATCTGGCCACAAATACTGAAGTGTATTTATTGTTGTAAAATAAAAGTGTGGAAAATTGAAGAAGGGAAAACTGGAGGTACAGGGGGTAGGACGACAAAAGGGTCGATGTCTTTATTAAGTGAGGGTTTTTTTTTTCTTTAATTGTATTTATTTATTTATTTATTTGCTTATTTAATTATTCATACTAATATATTTGTTTATTTGTTTATTTATTTATTTATTTTTAAAAATGTATTTATTTATTTATTTATTTATTTATTTATCTATTTCTTTATTTATATATGTAGTTGTTTTCATCTGGCATGTGGTCTCAACTTCTGTACTTCAAATTTTAATACAGACTGGGTAATATGCAGGTCGTTTCCTTAATTTCACCCCCATGTGTAAGTATGTGTGCGTGTGTGTGTGAGTGTGAGTGTGTGTGTGTGTTTGTGTGTGTGTGTGTGTGTGTGTGTGTGTGTGTGCGTGCGTGCGTGCCTGTTAACTTTGACTTCCTGATAGCACAACCTTCAGGCGAGATCTGCGACTCAAACCACTGGTGGTCACTGGGGTGTGTCCTTTAACAACATATTATAACTCTAGCTTAAAAAAACAAAAAAACACACACAACCACCCCCATCCCCCCCCCCCAAAAAAAAAGAGCTCCCAAAAAACAACAACAAAAAACGGGCAGCCAGAAATGAAGTATTTGTCTGAAGAATTCTCCGTATTGTGTATTTTGTAACTTTAATTTTTTTAAATCTTCTTTGTTTGTATACGAGTGTATTTAAATATGTATATAAGTAAGAATGTATGTCACTCAAACTGAAAGTTCCTCATTCGAATCAATAAAGTTATATTTAAAAAAGCTGAAATTTAGTTCATTCCAAAACTGAATAAAAAGTGGGAGGTTGGAACAGACCAGACCAGACCATTGTGTCACGGCGCTGTGGAATCAGACGTTCGTCAGTTTTTGGGCATCTGGAGTTATTGGTATTCGTTCATTTGCTTTGCTTTCGATGAAAGAATTACCCACTTATCTTGAGTACATGTCAATATATTAGAATGAGGTGGGGTCGCCTGATTTTAGAGGTAAAATTAGTGACAAAATGGCCGCCAAAATTTGGTTATTTACAAAGCCTAAGTGTCCGTGGAAATTGACAATTTACATTTTGATGCCTTTATTCAATGGGTTAAAAAAAATATATAACTCACACTGACATGGCCTTTTAAAAAGATATAGAAAGTGTTGAGCTAAAAATAACAACACAATTTCGATTTAAAAAAAAAAAGAATTGCCAAACCAGTGGAAAAGTGTAAGTTTCTTTACTTTCATTATTTTGACGAATGCTTTGTTTTACCACGCTACCTCACAATTTTGGTCGCTTTCAAGAACAAGCAGGCTAACCCAGGTTTCGGAGGTTTCCAGAAATCTTGACCTACACAAAATATGGGCATTTCCCTACCTATATGAAAAGTTTGGTTTCATTGGTGTGTATATTATTTGTTTGGTTATAGAGAAAACTCTCCTCGTTTTTTTTAATGAAACTGAACAAGGGACAAAAATTTTACCTTCGATATTCTCGAAACAGCATTTTTCGGGATAGCCCACTTGTCCTTAAAAGTGACCAATTATTATTTGTTAATAGCGGCACCAGCCTGTCCTTATCTGGGGGCTGTTTTAGCCTATTTAGGTGAGCACAGGCCCGTGAGGAGTCAGGCATTGGGCACAGGCCCGTGAGGAGTCAGGCATTGGGCACAGGCCCGTGAGGAGTCAGGCATTGGGCACAGGCCCGTGAGGAGTCAGGCATTGGGCACAGGCTGCTCTTACCTCCTGGTGGCCCATGAGCAGTGACCAGAGACACAGTGCTTGATGGTCATGGGCATCACGTTAGGCTGATTGGTCATAGCCACCCACATGTTCTCGTCGTTGTACCCTCTGTGGTTTACCTGGAGTGCGAAGGGGGGGTGAGAGGGGATGATAGAATTAGATACACGCACACGTACATACACGCGCACACATATAGAGAGAGGGGGGAGAGAGAGAGAGAGAGAGAGTGAGAGAGAGAGAGAGAGAGAGAGAGAGAGAGAGAGAGAGGGAGACACATAACATTTGTAATAGCTTGATATGATTAAAGGCGAGTTAGTCTTTTATGTCGACAGGACTGCTTTTCTTCACGCATCAAGGACCATTTTTTAATCATTTCGTTGTGTTCTTGTTTGAATTTGAAAATATATTTTTAATATTTTGTTGTACATTTGTTTTGTTATCGGATTAATTAATTAAATAATGTATCGGGTTACAAGGCATCCCTTGGGTCTCAATGTAAGCACTCTGGATAGACTTGTGTTTTTCGTGCGTCAGATTTGGTGCAGACATTTGCCGATCATGGTACCCAACTCTTTTCTGCTCTCTCCCTGATCAGTTCGGTTGTTCTTAGGGTTATATTTATTACAAACCTGCTCAGGATATCTGCGAATGATGTTCTCTGTCTCCCTCTGCTCTTCCTTTCTTCTATCTTTCTTCATAGCAGCAGTTTGTCTTGTTCATTTGGTCAAATTTTGTAGCCAGAGAACCTAATTTGGCTCTTTCTGATGGTTATGATTATAAATATTTCATAACCTGCAATTTCGAGATTTGGATTGTAATAATGTTGTTTTTTTTCAACATTAATTTTATTTCATGTGCTTCAGCTGGTTCCGACCATGCGTTCTTGGGAAAGGAACTTTACCCGAATTTCCCAATTGGCTCGCCCCTTCGGAAAAGGGCGTTGAACTCGGAGGTCCTGCCTCTTCAATAACCTAACAGAATTGATGGGGACGTTAAACCTTCACCATTTCACCATATTTTTTTGGGGTAAACCTGCAATGCCCAAAGGACTTGTATTAGGAGCAGTTTGAATTAAATTAAAAAATTAATTCAGTATTACAATAAAAACAATAATCAATTCATTTCAGCACTACGTTTGACTTACAGTGAGTCCCATAGCGCCCTTCTGTCCCAGCTTGAACCATCTGTGGTACATGGCGGTGTTCAGAACGGACATCTTGGATGTGACACCTACGTCATAGTTGAGCAGGCCAAACGCGTCGTCGGTGAGGTTGGCGCCGTAGTTGTCCTTGCCCGGGATCTCCCCCATTAGGGAGTCCAGGAACGAGTAGTAGTTGTACCTGGGCAGGTGGACAGTTGTTGCAATGAAAGTGATAGTGAAAGCTACTTTCTTTTTTTTCTGAAAGGGGTGCAGGAGGGCGGGGGTGGGGGTTTGTTTGTTATTCTTCTTTGTGTGTGACTCAGGGAGTCCAAAACGAGGAATAGTTGTACCTGGGCAGTAGGACAGTTGTTGCAATGATAGTGATAGTGGCAATAATTTTTTTCTTTTTAATTTTTTTTTTAATTTATTTTTTGTTCGTTCTATTCATAAATATTTTTTAAACATTTTATTTTATTTATTTATTTATTTATTTATTTATTTTATTTTATTTTATTTTATTTTTTAAAATTTTATTTTTTTTGGGGGGGGAGGGGGGTTGTGAACATGATCAATTTTGCGTGCTTTGGCTCAAAATAGATCAAGAAAGGTACTTTCGTCATGTTTGGCAGCTCTAATAAAATCTTATAATGACTTCAACTTGATCGGAGTTGTATCCAAATCACATGGGCAACTAATCATTCTCCATTTCTATATAAATATCGAAACGATAAATGACGATTAAATGTGCATTATTAATATTATCGTCCTCATTCCCTCTCTCTCCTTGGATCAGGGTATAGTTCACGAACAAATACTTTCCACCTTTCCCTATTCTGGGCTAGCATCTTAGTTTCATTCTATATTGTCTTCCCACGTTTTTGTTCCATGTGCTTATTTAAATAAATGTATTATCCTTTATCACGAAAAAAAGGAGACAGTTCGCAAAGGTCTCACCTGTCAGTGCCGAACTCATTGAGCTTGAACCTGGCAGCCCTGTTTTGGTTCATACGGTCCCATTTGTAGTGGCGGGGTACCCTGTAGGCCAGGTCGTCTTGCATCTGTGATACATAGGAAAAGGTACTTGTGTATTATTACGATGTCGAGTTATTGTTCGTTCAACCAGTATGTGTGTGTGTGTGTGTGTGTG